GATCAATCGTTAACGTATCAAGTGTCGATGGCTTGAAACCGGTAAGTCGTGATATGTCAATATAAATCGATAAAAAATCAAGTAAACTTCCTTTTGAAACACTTGAAACAGATTTCTTATCCATATTTTAGTTGTATTTTTTCAGAACGAGGACGTTCTTTTGGTGCCCCGGTCAACTGTAACAAAAAACTGGTTTTAACCAGGTTGGTTTGGTGCTACCTTTCCCTACCTCAAGTAGGTAGGGAAAGGCCATAATTGGTTGAAATTTGGAGGTCGGCCATTTTAAACGGGAGAAGATTTTCTCCCTCATCCAGCATAAAATGGCCGACCATTTCTTTGTTTGAGCGCGTATCTAGCCACCCGCGGAAGCCCTGGTCAACCAGTAATCGATATAAGTAAAATACTATTTGATGTTGTGAATTTCACCTCTTACATTTTCACCATATTAGTAAATTCTAATTGACTATATGTACTCTAAAATGAAGTTATTCAAAGGTGTTTTGTGACTAGTGAAATTATTAACGGTGGGTAAAACAACTATTGTATTTACATATTTACAAGTGACTAGTTTAACCGTATTCACAACGCTACATCAATATACAACTGTATCAAAATTGTGGTCGTGTAACTATAAGGACACAGATCATCCATCTACTAACTCTCCATCTAGGACCCATCTATTCTCAGTTCATCACCTAAATCATAATCTGTGACCTTAAGGATCAGCAACTTGACTATCCAGTGAACAACTTGGTGAACAGTGTTCATCCTGACCATCTTAGCTTAAAGAAAACTATAGTGATCCCGATTTTCATCCGGTGGTGAATGGTGTTATATCTATTATGAGATAGTTAATTTTTATTTTGATTGTAATAAATAAATGAATAAAATTTCCACAACAAAACCAATTCTCTATAGTCCCAGTTGCGGCACTAGTCTTTTGGCTCCTGATGTTCGTGTCAACGCTATTGCTCCTGGACCCACAAGAACTGGTATAGTTTCGAGCCTGGGTGATCCTGATGAGATTTGGGATAATTTTGCTAAAATGATGCCATTGAAGCGAGTTGCTGAACCAATTGAAATGGCCCAATTAATAGCCCTTGTTGCCTCTGATGTTTCTAAAAACATGACTGGTTCAATAGTTGCATCTGACTCTGGATATCTTCTTGGGGATCCTTACTCATCGGGAAGGGTCGCATAAATTAAACCTGTCCAATTTAACCCTTCAACTTGAATAGGATGACAGTTGAAGAACAATTTTTTTAAAAAAATCAATCTTTCATTAGACTTTGCTAATCTTGAGATACAATAAATAAACTATGAAAATTTTTCGTAAAACATAATAAAACCTGCATTATTCGACAGTATATTGTATAAAAGAAACTATCCAATGAATTGGCCTTATACTCTTTTAATCATTATGTGCTAAACTAGCCATTGGTTAAGTTACTGTTAAGCCACCACAAGCCACCTCATGGTTACCGTCCATTCGTTATAAGAGCTGATTTCCTACAAGATACAGATATCAAGACTTTTGACGAGACAATTGCTGGTTACAATTGGCTAGACATTCCTGTCGACGATGTCGGTGTAGTTAATCTGAAAAATGACCCTGAAGCTATTGCTGATTTTGATCGCGTTATGCAAACCTATTGCCGGTTACTGTCGACTGGAACTTCTTGTCAATAATGTTGTTGTAACTAATCTAGAAAGATTTGATGTTTGTTAAGCCATTTCTGACTATTATGATTTATCATGATAATTTATTAATTTATTTGTATGTATCTGTCATAACGATACTTCATGATGTACAATTGTTGTCAACATTTTTCCTTTTGTATTCATTTTTTAGCCAATATAATATTTCACTTCATTTCCATTTATTCAAACTTTGTGTTTGATGTATCTGGATTAGCAATGAGGAATCCACCATCAGATACAACAATTGAACCAGTCATGTTTCTTGATGCATCACTCGCAATGAATGCTATTGTTTGAGCAATATCAATTGGATCAGCAACTTTTTTCAATGGCATGATCTGATTGACGCTGTCCCAAATCGCATTTGAATCTCCCATGCTTTTGATTATATCAGTTCTGACTGGACCAGGATTGACTGAGTTGACACGGACATGCGGAGCCAACAAAGAAGCCATAGACTTGGTGAACATATCCAATGATGCTTTAGACATGCAATATGACCAAGTAGAACTATTCTGTGAAAACCCAAAATTAATTTGATTGAAACACAACATAAATCGTCAAGACACGTGCATGGCTTTCACCTGTAGAAACTTTCGAGACTTACCGACTTGAGACCTGCAACACTGGATACATTGACGATTGCTCCTTTGGCTTTGATCAATTGTGATTTAGCCAAATCTGTTAAAAGGATTACAGCGCGGACATTAACTTGCATCACTCGATCAAAATCAGCCAATGCTTGAGGTTCACCAAACGCTTTTTGACAAATAACACCAGCATTGTTTACTAGAATGTCCAGTTTCTTGTAAACAGAATTAGTTTCTTCGAAAGTTCGTCTGATATCATCATCTTTCATGAAATCAGCTTTTATAACAACAGGTTTATAGTTATGAGGAGATTTAGCTTCACATTCAGCAGCAACTTTATCCAATTTAGACTGATCACGACCAACAATTGCCACTTTAGCACCTAAAGACGAAAAGAGTAAAGCCGTTGCAGCGCCAATCCCGTCACTAGAACCAGTAATTAAAGCTACTTTATTGTCCAGATTGATCATTTTACCTTTCAAATTCAAGAAACAAAATGTGCTGAAAGTCGATCACTGAATTAACAAGTATTAATATACAAAATAATCATGATTAGTGATCATTTTATAGACTAGTTTATATACAATAATATCAATATAATAAAATCTGTTTCATCATTTGACTCAGTACATAGTCATAACAACCTCAACCGCAAAACAATGCAAAGTCAGCAAACATCCGTCGATACACATTGTGATTCGTTCAGTTTTGTTTAGCAGTTTTGATGAAGAAACATGATATTGATAAGTTACCTTGAGATTTATCAAAATTTGAAAATAGTCTAGACTATTCTTTAGTCAATTCAGTGAATTTTATCAATTAAAGGATTAAATGAAGGTCAATTGTGATTTATCAGTAATCAGAGTTATACTGAGTGATAATAAAAATACAATTCAAAAAGGAATGAAATAAGAGAGATAAGCGAGGAAAACCTAACGATAGTTATACACAATAGAATATTTGGTTTGCTGATTTACTAAAGTTTTATATCAAACTTCTAGTTAACAACAAAGATTGGGGAATAAATAATCACGCGTTCACATGAACTTAAGATTCATTACCTTGAGATACATTCAGGTTACTCGGGAATAACAATATTCATGGTTTGTTTCGAAATTATCGTCATTTAAGCATTATATTTAATAAAATCAATATTATGTTGAATTTAGAGTTAGCATCAAAGGTTGCTCATGATAATCTGAGATATTAAAAGAGTGACGAATGATTCCTATACAATGCCAAAATTAGCCAAGGTTAATCATTAATCAGCAAAAATTGGAAATATGCAATTGTAGCCAGAAATATTGGAAGCTGGTTTTGAGAACCTACTCATCGTTTCATCTAAAAGTATACATTCATTATCTGTATTTTTATACAACTGTTTCCGGATCTTATTTTTAACTCATTAAAGCTAGTTTTTCCTTGATATTGGCTCACCTGTTACTAAACAATTGGAATGAAAAGTCAAATACATGTCTAAAACATTTATCGATGAGCTGGAAGATTTTTTCATCTGCATTCTATAAACATTAACTGTTGAGCATCTATCAAGTTCCGAGTAAACAATCCTTTCTTGCGTTATTTATAAAAATTTTACTTAAATCATAAAATGAATATGATTTTTGAAAAACAAATCACAAAAAAGTTGTTACGATCTTTTTTGACCACTTTTTGGTGCTTTCAATTAAGAGGTACTCAAACGAGTAGCTTTAAGTTTGTGGCTTTATATCTCGTGAAATAAACGCCAGATTGCGGTCATTTTAATTTATATTAATTTATAATTTATAACAGGACTTTGAAGGTGTCTAAAGACAGCGTATTCAAAAGCGACACAACAATGCTTACACAGCTAGGAAAGCAGTTTATAATAGGATTATAACATTTCCGTGGGTACTTGTTAAAAATTAAAACTTTATGTTTGAAAATGTTTAACGTCTTTAATTTCAAAGAGGTGATGTAATTGTAAAGCATCAATTGTAAAGTTTTAGTAGTGCCATGAGAACCATATGAATACTTAGCTTCATATTCAGCAGCAACTTTATCCAGTTTAGACTGATCACTACCAACAATTGCCACTTTAGCACCTAAAGACGAAAAGAATAAAGCCGTTGCAGCGCCAATTCCGTCACTAGAACCAGTAATAAAAGCTACTTTATTGTCCAGATTGCTAAATTTACCTTTGTAATTCAAGAAACAAAATGTTATGAAAGTCGATCACTAAACCAACAAGTATACATATTCAAAATAATAATGATTAATGATCATTTTATAGACTATGATTCAAGATATTTATTGATTAGTAAAACCTTTCATTTGATTATTACTCCTGATAAACAAAATTTAACACAACCATCTTGAAAGAAGCTTAGATATCCAAATGGAAAAAGGAATGAATGAAGAGTAAGGAAAGGATTTATTGACAATTAACCAAGGAAAGAATTCAAATGACTTAAATGATTAGTAAAGTAAAATTTTAGTAATTATTAACTAAATCAATTGTTAACTCTATCAAAAGCTAAAATTATTCGTATTTGAATTCAGTATTCAAGTGAATTCCTTATTTCAAATTATACCAAACTGTTTATCAACGAAAAACTTACATATATTATTATTTATATAATAAAATCTGTTTCTTCTTTTGACTCAGTACTTAGTCATAACAACCTCAACCGTAAAACAATGAAAAGTCAGCAAATATACATAAGTCAATATACATTTGTTCAGCTTGATTTTACAGTTTTGACGAAAAAACATGATGTCGATGGATCACCTTGAGATTTTATCAAAATATGAAAATATATTACAAAGAAAGTGTCATAGGTGTCATAATTTCCGGTCGATACTATGTTCGTTCGATAGAACACAAACTTAACGAGTCTTTTACAATCAAGTCGAATCAAGGTCAAACGTTACCTATCAGTAATCAGAGATACACCGATTGCTTTCAAAAATAGAAACTGTGTTGTGCAAACAGTGCTGTCCGTTATATAAACACCTGCATAACAGAATCAGTATAAAAGTTTACTGTTTACAGAGAAAAGGTATCAGTTGTGAATTTGAATTTGAAAGTAATTCAGTATTTTGCAAATTTTTTCAGTCTATCCAAATTGAAAATGCAAGTGAACAAAATTGTATCGCCTATTTTTTTGATGGCAGTCATTTTTATCTTTTGTTCTTATTCGGTGACCTCTCAATCTGTTCCGGGTGTCTCAACCTCTGGACCCAAAGCCTCTGGGGGCTCATCATTACTTGCGTCGGTCTCTGGCGCCTTAAATCCCCTTGCGCCCATGCCCACTGGTGGATCATCATCCTTTCAGCCCGATAAATCTTCCGAAAAATTTGTCTTCGGTGGATCGCCCAATTATCAAATTAATCTGTAATCACCTAGTGACGGTCAACGTGAAAAACTAATACTGTGATGTAGCTAATAAGCTTCACTGTTTAAGAAAGTGACTGAGATTGCTGCAATTCAATTGTTCCTTCGTTAAGAATAAATTATAAAATAGAATATAAAATTTTAATTTGATAAATAAATACCTAATCATTTACTTTTCAGTACTTTCCGATACATTTCATTGATTATCGGAACTAGAAAATTATCTAATCCGTGATATTCAGGGTAAGACTTTTTCAACTTCCACTGTCTGAGCCAGCTAACTATAAAGCTTTACAGCTGTAGTTATCACAAAAATACACCTGAACAGTTTAATTTCTAAGAAAACTTAATTTTCGATTTTTCTGCTACAACCATCTATTGAAAGAAAACTTGATCACATGTTCTACCGAATGCAACTACAAATCATGCGTTTTTAAAAAAAATGCCAGTTCATTCGATCAAAACGGAATTATTCAAAAGCGAAGAAAATGGAAAGTAAAAATAAAGCACGAACTGTCATCAAAAATAATCGAAATACAACTCGCTGCGCAATCAAAAACGTGTAAACAAAACGCTTTGAATAACATTTCTCAGCTAGAATGTGTCTTTACTAGAAAACACATAGGTGGTGCACTTGCAAAGCAAGACCAATTTATTTGACTAAAGGCTCTAAATTTTTATATTTCATGCTTTCCGAAATGGTAGCACGCACTTCACCAGACAACTCATTTAGTAAAATTTTCTAGAAATTGAAGTTAGTTGATACCTGCATCGACTGACTGACTGACTAAATCGGCTAACTTTGGTATTTAAAATTTTCAGATCGATTGTCGGCACAATTAGCATAGAAAAAGGAAAGGAAGGAAAAGGAAAAATCCTCTAGAAAATTTTCATTTAAGATTCAACTCTCATCAAACTGGAAATTTTGAATCGATTATATCGATTATCTGTACACTGAAATAGCATTTTATCCATCAAAATTCTGTCGAACTGTTGCCCAAAAAGCTTTATAATAGGTTGAACATAATTCATATCATGCAACATCTTCACTGTTCAATATGCTGACCAAAAGGAAAGAAACTTGAAAGATTCATGAACTTGAAAGATCGAATGCCATTTAATCCTAGACATGTTTTCTTCAGTTGATTTGCCGATTCAGAGACAATCTTTCCATACAATTCGGGTTTAATGGAGATAATAATAAACAAATTAACCATAGAAATCTGTTAAATAAATTTTAATTAATCTTTTCATAAATCAGACAAGAGACAGCAATTTAATGCTTTTTGCAATTTAAATTAGTGATCAGTTTACAACAATTCAGACTAAAATTGATCTTGTTTTCAATTAAATTGACAAAAAATAAATTTATTCAAGTGTATTACATCTTCATTTGACTGACTATTGTCTCAGTGTTACAATAAAATTGATTCAGTAAACAATTAGAGAAATTGAATTAGAGAAAGAATCTCTAAAACGAAATCATTTGAGAAAAATGAACATAAAATATCATTCAATCTGTACAATGCAAAAAAACATTTGAACCAGTTGTAACACAATTTACAATGAAAGTGTACACAATTGTTGACCAACAATCAAGCACACTGACCAATAAACGTCCAAATGTAAAAAACAATCGTCCAGTGATTAGGGTTAGTCTTTTGATTATCTCGTCAATATTTCGAATTTATTGTTGAATAAAAATTGATCAGAATCCATCACTGAGTTTGATACTAGAAAAAGAAAAAAGAAGAAAAATTCAAATTAGTTCCAAACGTTTACTTGAATTATCACGATAAAAGCTGAACAGTAAATAATCAAGATTAAAAGTCTGGATATTTCATTTCAGAGTTTAAATTGATAATGATAAAAGTTAAAAAATAAAAGATGGAAATGATTAATTTACCTTGAAGAATGATAAATAATAATGAAAAAAAGGAAAAAATGTTTTCACGAACAAAATAAGAGACAAAACTGAATGATGTTCAGACTCGAATTAAGTCATCAACTGAGTCATAAACAGTTTACTCAAAACTGAGCCAGGAACACTTTACTCACAGGAATATTTCCAATTGTCGCTGGTATCTGTTGATTAGATGGTGAATTGACTACTTGACTATGATTACATCGACCCTGACCTGACTCGTTAACGGCCAATTTAAGGGGCAATTGTTGCTTAATTGGTGATGAATTAGAACCACTATTAAAGGCTAAACTTGGTGTTCTCGGTGCAGAAGATGAAGATTGATTAACTTTATCAGATGAAGTTAGACTTGGCGTCTCGGAGGATACAGTTGTTCCTGGTGTTGATGATACACAAGATGGAAATGATATGTTATTAAAATTAGTAGCAACTGATCGAGTAAATTGATTACAACTTGATCCAGTCAATCTATCACAATCAGATATTCCAGTGGCATTACATGGACTATTGTTATTGTTATTACTATTATTACTGACAAGACTATTATTGTTAAGGCCATTTCCCCGATTAACAAGATCAGGATTGATCCGTAAATTACCAGTATTCACAATTGTATGAGCAGGAGACAGAATTATTCCTTCCTTTTGAAGAGCCTCCAACTTGCGATAAAGCATTTCCCTTTGCTCTTCCACGTCCTTTTGTTCCTTTCGAACCTTTTCCTGTAAATCTTCCAACGATTTTCGTTCACTTTCGATTCCCGTCTTTTCTTCATTTAGCTTTTTGATCCATTCGCTCTTTTCCATTCTCAACTGTTCTTGAAGATTCCTCAGTTCTTCCAACCCTTGTTCCGGTCTGTACACACTTCGACGATCCGATTTTGCGTCTCGACCGTTGTTTCCACCGTAAATGTTGTCCTTTTGAAGTTGAATTATCTTGTTGTTTGAATCCATCAATTGAAATCTCATGTTTTCAAACAAGGTTTGCTGGTAATTGAATAAACACTGAAAAAAGTAAAGCAATAATCATTAGTAAATTTAATAAACCTTAAAATCAATTAGTTTCTTTGCCCAATTTTTGGTTAATGGCTTTTTTCACAGAGAAACGTTTAACAATTTGTACTTTTTGCTACTCTTTTTGCATACATTTAAAGGGTAAAGACTGAAAAAATTGAATCTAACAACTACTTGTATTCATATTTATATTTAATTATACAAGTTAACCAGAATAAATTATTACTAGGAAAAGGAAAGTTGAATTGAGTTAAAAAGTGATTTTAAGCATGAAAATTGAGAAAAAATGATTCCATTGAAAAGTATACTTTAGTTTGAGACAAAATGAACTCAAATTGAGGCGCATAAAAAATGAAAGGCATTTTTCACACAAAATCATGTACCATTTGCTAATTCAACTATTAAATGTTTTAATTAAAGGCAAGAGTCAATTTACTCTGGAAATCATAAATTAGATTTAACTTAATCGAGAAGTGCATAAAAAATGAGTGAATATTCAACAAGTGATGAAACTGGTTAATGATTAAAATGTTTATAAACTTTTCCTTTTTACCCTTTTCTCAATGTTTAAAGAGCAAAATGAGATTACAAGAAATGGTGAAATGATTAATGTTATTACCATAAGAAGATTAACTTGATGTTGAAGTTCAGCTATTTGGATCAACTGGTCTTTTCCTTGAGTCATCAGAAGAGGTGTAGTTGTTAGTCTGTATATGTCACTAGGATCGTAAAGAGGTAAAGTGGCAAACATTGAGGATGATGATGAGGTAGAAGATGAGGGTGAAATGGGTGCCAATGTAGTGCTTGAAGAGGCAAACAGTGATTGAATCGAAGGTGTTGGTGTAGTGACAAGGGAACGTCGTTGCGTCTTCTCGGGACTCGATGCATTCGATGAGCACTTGTTGACCAACGGTCCAGAAGATCGACGGTGATCAGTTAAAGTGGGTCTTATTGCTAGGAATGATTCATTGGTTGGACCTTGAGTCATTGTTGTCGTTGATGAGGAAGAGGACGAGGCTGTGGATAGAGTGGATCCCATGTTAAGAGCACTTCCGTCGGGATCAACTTCAGATGTTCGCGAATCGCCTGTAACATTTTCCTTGAATGGACAGTCTTTCAATTGACCCAACTTCTTCTTCAATGCATTCAATCGCAGTAAAGGATCTTTCTCTGGATTATCAAAGCCACCAAAAGTCTCTGCTCTTTTTGGTAAAATGGGCGAAACAAAAGTGTCACTTTGATGTTCACCAGCTGAACTGACACTGCGACACAAATTGGTACCAGAAACGTAAAGATTATGAGCTATCCTGAAAGCTGCAAAATAAACAGTTGATTAATAGTCTGATTACAATCGCTAAATAATGTTCGAGTCTAACCTTCATTGGCAGCATTAATGATTGTCTCTGGTGAGCAATTGTCTTCAATCATTGGCACATAACGGATCAATTCAATTCCTTCTTGTTCAATACCGAGCAATTCCTTGAAAGAGAAAATGAAAAATTAGTTTACATGAAATTCATGGTGCATTTGTGGTGACATCAAAGTTAATCATTACCATCATGTCGGCGAATATTTTCATTTTATCTTCACACATTTGAGCCATTCGAGCATCCTTTTCGTACATTGAATTCAATAGTTCACGAACTTTTGCTTTTCTTGCCTCTTCTATCTTTTTCTCTTCACCCTCATTCGGACAATCCTCTTCTTCATCAGGACAAATCTCGACCGCTTCTCGAATCTGGTCAATCAAATTTTTCTGTTCCTTTGCAGTTGGACATATCAGTTCATACATTTCAGGCTCATGAGGATTGGATGATATCAAGTAAACTCCTCGACTTAATTGTCCAGCCTTTTCACGAACCAAAAGCTTTTGCAATGAAACAACACTTGACTGTGAATAGAAAAGCAGAAAAATTAATAACAAACAGATGAAAAGAAAATCATTTTCTTCATAAAATCAATCCAATTATTGATATAAACTTCCAAGATGGACAATCAATATTTAAGGTGAATCTCAAGTTGTTATGAGTAAAAACTTATAAGTTATAACACAATAACGATATCATCAAAGACAAGATAAAGTGAACAGAATAGACAAGATTCTCATTTTTATTCCTGATAATGTTCCAAACAGAATAATAAATGTCAAAAATTGGGTCTTAATCACTTGAAATATGACAAATATTTCCAATTAGAGTCTAATCAAGAGCATAAACAAGGCATTTATTGTTCATTAACCCTGTTAATGGGAAAACAAAATGCTTGTGGACGATGAAAAGATGAAAGTAATATTAAACTGGTGATTGCCTTTTAGTGAGTTTCGTTTATCAATTTAATGACAACTTTTAGATGGACGTGAAAAAGATGAGAAGAAGAAAAAATAATCATATTATTTCCATGAATACTGTTGAATAGGAATGATAAGTTGAATACAAATTCACCAGATTGAGAAGCATAATCAATCCTCTCAGGTCTAATAATTCAAGGTATCAACAATCTAATGGCAACGATTCCCAGAGAAGCTAGAGAAAGCCATGAAAGATGATGATCATGATGGAGATGGAGATGAATGTTAAATGGAAACCAAATAAAACGAAATGAAAAGGTAATAAACAAGAAAAGTCTGAAAGTGATGAAAATTTGTAATACATTACAGTCATCATCTGATCGTTTAATTTTGCCTTTGTTTTACTTTTTCATTTCAAGCTGAAAATTGAGATGGAAATGTAACTTTCCATGAAAATGAATATGAAATTAAATAAAAATGTGTGACATGTTGAGCTACAATAAAGGGTTTACAGTTATTCCTTCAGAACAATGTTGATACGAAAGTTGAGCAAAGGGAAATAAGCAAAAGGTGATGAGAAAATGTTGTTTCATTTCTCATTCCTGGTGAAATATAAGGCAAGTGTTACAAAATATAATAAATATATTTGTAGGGTTAAAGTGGTGAGATGAAATTCCCAAGATAGTCTTAAATAAAAGTAAGAAAACTTGTAAAAAGGTAGAAAAGAAGTTTCTTTATCTTCATTTATTTTTACCTTTTATTGAACATTAGCTGTTATCAAAGAGACATGAATTGATGAAAAGGATGAGAAACAAATGTATGGCCAGTAAGCATCATTATACTCTTGGAGTGAAGAGTGAAGCTAAAATTAGCTGAATGACAAGAGTTGAATCGAATGGTTTGATTAACTTGTTACCGATTCAACAAGAAATTTATTGTTGCTAACAAAACTCGGAAAAGGAATGAAAAGTAAATTTTAAAAAACTTCAACAAGGTCAAGGTTGTTTGCCAGGTAAACATGATTATGAATTTTGGATGAACAAGGAAGAGAATTGATTGAACTAATAAGTTCATCTATGAATTAATAATGGAAAGAGAAAAGTAGAAGAATATTGAATAATCGAAGATGAACTTTTATTCATCAAGAAATGGTTGATGGAATGAATGTTATCATAAAGAATAGTTTCATTCTGCAATTTTCATCATTAAGGATTAATTAATGAGCCATGTCTTCTGATGACAGTTAATTCAACTAAAAGAAAATTAGTTTCCAGATGAATTCTGAAAAAACATGGACAAATGATATTATTGCAAACCCTTGTTTATGATGAGTGTAACCTTGTCTGAGCATCACTCAGTTTCTGGAACACATTGAATCTGTTTGTATGGAAATTGAATTGATAATTTGAATGAAAACTCGTCGCTCATCCTTGAGCTGACAACTTACCTTGTTATCAAGTGAACAGAAATGATACTTTTGATTGTTTTCTTGAAGCAAAATGATTACATCAGAAAGTATAACACCAATTACATCAACAACTTTACCACGAGCACTTTTCCATGAGAGAACAGCTTCATGGCGCAACTTTCGATTATTCGAGAGAAGATCAGATTTTCTAAACTTTTTACCCTTGTAGATGGTCGTCGATTTGGCATCAATTTTATTATAAATCTCAAGTAAACGAATTTCCTTTTCCTTTTCAGCAACTTGAGCATCAACTCGATTAATGACATTTTTACAGTGACTCAGTGCATCCTTCAAATCACTATAATCACATTTATTATCTAAAAATAAATGAAACGCAAAAGTAAATGATTAACAAGCGAAATTAAATTTTCCAATTTACTCACCTTTGGTAACTTTCAACAAGGAATCAATCAACAATGGATATTTGGTGATGCGCTGAGTAACGAGTAAAATACATTCAGGAATTCCTCGAGTTTTACAAACGGGTTTCATGCTACATTTCTGTAAATAAACAAGAAAATATTTCGAAATTAATTTTTCGTCTGAAACTTTCGTAGACGAAGGAAAATTGTCTAATGTCTACTTTTGATTTGTTTGGTTAAGTCAAGGTTCTCAAGTTGATCGAGTTGCGATTCCATAAATAAATTATAAACTCTGAAACTTGATACCATTCTAATCCTTCCCCTGTTTGTTTACAAGTTAAATTTCAACAAACATGATAATTATGAGTTCACCTAGTTTCTAGTTTACTGTTATTCAATTTATTTACACAAAGTTTACTGTCAACCTTGACCTCAAAGGTTTTCCAGTCAACATTGTTAACCTTGTCTGTTATTTTCAGCATTTTGTTTATCACTTGAGAGGAAAGTGTTGATGAAAGAAATGAAATGATTATCTTGACGAAGATGAATAACTTTTAATTACTTACTTTGATGAAATTCTGGAATTTCCTATCAGTTTTCAGGATATCTTTATACAAAGACAGGGCTTCTTTATGTTGACTACAAAATTGTCCGTAACAGTTTCTTAATTGTTCACCATTTGATCCAGAAAACTGTTTGCAAGAGAAATGAAAACAAATTAAAGGTTCGAATTATTTTCCACATTTTTCGATATTAATTTAGACGCAATTTTCGCGAATAGTTCAAGATGGTTCAAGATGAAAGTAATTTTTGCATTTCAAGGCGATCCATCATTGTCATGATTAAAACAAATATTAACAAACCTGTTGTAATATTATGTCTCCAATATTATCGATCACAGAGTCTAGAGATTGTCTTTCACGTAATTTCTTAAGGAATGTAAGATGGGTTTCAAGAAGATCCTCCAAACATGGGAATATCCTTTCCACCATGTCTTTGGTCATATGAAGTTCTTTAATCATACCTTGAGCATATATTTTCTGCATTATCTTTAGGGTTAAACAATGATGCTTTTCGGTTATTATTAACTCTGTAAGGAAGAAGAATGAAAATGATGAAAAGATTAGTTATGAGATGAGCAAGGTAAAATTAATTTCAAGTTCATTGAATATTAGCCAGGAATCAAGGTTTACTGGACCAAGTCAATTATTGGTCAACAATTGGGTCAAAAGGTGGTTCGAAGGAAAATAATCACAATATCTTTTATTTTTTCCTTTTTTTCTCTCCAAAGGTTATTCTCTTTAATAAAATATCAATCCATACCATGAATAACTTCTTGTCGTCTAATGTCCTTTTCCTTTAATCGTTTGAGAACCTGGAATGGAACAGAAAAGTAAAAAGAAAAGTAAACAATGAGATTTTGTCATTTTGTCTTTCATTTCTTCTTTTTTTTTCTTCGAAACGTTTTCGATTGTTGGTTTCATCAGAAGCAACATGGTTACGTTCATCGTTATCATGACAATGTAATGAATATAAAAGAGGCAAATCATTAAAGAATCAGTAACAGAGATTACAATAGCAGATCAATTGAACGTCAATAGTTGCAATCTCAACGTCTTATTGTTGCTCTTTTCTGTTCATGGAAATTGAGGAAAGAAAAGTTGAACTACATTAAAGGTTATTAATTAATTTGAAGGAAAATAAAGAGCAGAATAATGGCTCATGTTAAGTGAGTTTCATCAGTTAGAAGGTCCATTGTGTTGGTCAAGTAAAAAAATAGATTTCCTGTGGAGACGTTAAAGGCTTATTTACTCTGATTGTAATTGACGAAATGGCAATTTCGTTTCTTGTCTTCGACCAACAAATGACATCATTGGTATCATATTGAATAATATTGCTAATCGTAAATGAAATTTGAGGACAAAAGTTGCTTCATCACGATTCCATCAAACTTCATGTTATTAATTACCAAAAGTGGATGATTCTTGGTAAAGAAACTCATTTGTATTAATGAGATGCATTTATGTAAATAGTGAGGGTCAACAGAAGCTGGATAAACATGACCGTTCGAGTTGATAATAAGTTCAATATTGTAATGAGATGGACATTCGCCAACTGTTTTAAAGGTTTTATCGAAACGAATTCAAAAGAAACTAAAAGCGACTTTCAATCAATTTACACTTTTCTTTTCAACTAAAATTTTCGATCAACTCTGCTTTCGATTCTCTGTTTGCCGTTCAAGTGTCAATGACTAACCTTTTTATCAACTGTATTGTTCCATGATTCGGGTTCGTCATCCAATAAACGAAGAGCGCAATCATCTTCAAATTCACTTGTAATCACTTCTGCAACTCCTTCGTCCAGTGACTCCATGGAGCCAGAAGCAGTTTCAACAATGCTGAAGTTTTGATGAGAAAAAAGTCATTTATTGTTTGAAACTTTTTACGTTCATTTACACTTACTTGCTGTGTCCATCTTCACCAGTGTCCAACTCTTTGTCTTCACAGATGACTTTACTGTAAATTAATGATATTTAATAAATTAGCAAATGACATTTTAATTAGAAAAGATTGATTGAGCAAAATATCAAGACAACAATTTAAAGGTAACAATGTAATCATGCTTAATTCATACACAAACGTAAACAAAAGGTATTGACTAGAAGTACAATTTTATGCACTCATTAACCATTTGATCATGCAGAATGAATAAACTTGTTAATTTGATTAAAAAAACTAATTTAACGGGAACACAGAAATTAAAGGTAAACAGTTGATGCAAACACAAAATTATTAGCTATTAACATTGGATTAACTTTTGATGAAAAGTGAAGTTTTATCAATTATTATTACTCGATAATTGATTGAGAAAACAATCAAATATTCCAATGGTGGGTAACAATTAACGGTTAACATCATTTAGATGTTATCGACCTACATGAACATGCTCATTTGCATGGTAATCACAAGGCTTTTTGGGCACAAAATCACTTTGATTAAGAGTAATTTCATGTGAAATCGAGTCAGATTAAGGTTAAATTGTTGCGATTAGGCCATTCGATGTTCTTGGAACAAATTAAGGTAAATCCTTTCAACTTTTTCTAATCACATTAAGCTTCCAAGAAACAGTTGAACAGAATCAACGGATTCTCCAAAATTACAATGGCACTAATCACAGTAACTCAATGGACTAAATCATGGTTCAACCTTTGATTCTATGAATGATGATTGTCACAATTCCAAGTGAATAGTCATATTGATGGTAAATGAAATTAGTAACTGATTAGTAAATCAGGTAAATTGACATCCAATGGTTAAAATAAAGTGAAAAATATATCCATATGGTGAGAGTAAAGAAAGCAAGTAAAAAAGGTTGAATTAAGGTTGAAGAGGAAGATGGAAATGGATCAACAAATAAGCATCAATTAACTTAATTCATACATCATCATTGAGTCGAGTCCAGATGAAAGTAAAAGTGGAAAAGGAAGGCAATTCTGGTTAGTGACGATCAGTGTTTGATGAATAAATCAATCACAAATTGAATACAAATGTGATAATCCTTTTGTCTTTATTAATGACAAGAAAATGTTCAATCAAGTCGACGATCAATTAAATGTTTACTGTTGATTAAAGCACTAAGTCAACAATTGCTAGTAAAGTGGCCATTCAACAAGGAAAACAATCAACAAATTGTGTAAATTAGAAGGCAAATGATTAAACCACTGGAGACACGAAGTCGTCATTTAAAGCACTTTAACTTAACCTTAGCAATTGATTAAAAAAGGACAGAAACAATGAACTCGAAGGGAAAGAAACAACGAAGACAAGATGGCGAATTTTGAGTGGCAATGAAAAGCACTAAGGCTAAAGATGAAGCATAAGATGAGCAATAATGATGAAGGCGATGCGAAAAATATGAGCAAGATTGGGATAACGAAGAGAGTAGTCGAAGTGAGCTAAAAACTGTAATGATTCCAGAAAAAAGAAAGTGAACCAGAAAACATTTGTTTTAAGCAAAAGGCAAGTTTAGTTACACCTCGCTGTGAGTCACAATGAGATGAAACATTTCATCAGGAAACAGAAAATGACTCGTAGTAAAAGATGTCGACAGTACCTTAAGAAGCAGTAAACTTGATCGAAAGAGAAGAGAGGAAAAATTTTCTTGGAAGGTGTCCTAAATCGGTTGTAAATGACGAAGGGAAAAGCAACTCCAGAAGGAGTCCAAAATAAACCTCAAGTGAAAAAAAAAATATTTAACTTTTATTCAGCTTTTCATGTCAATGCCGAGGTTTTGTTGTTGATCAAGTTAACCGATACAAGGGAAAGAGCGAAATTGACAAAATTAACAAAAATTGAAAATGAAACTTTGATAAATCTTAACCTGAAACACCAAAACCATCAACTCGGGTTAAACCTACAAACTGTATTTACTCATGAATTAACCTCTGAAAATTTAAACATGAAAAGGTAAATATTGATATAAACATTTCAATTTCTAGAGTTTCTGCCTTTTTCATTCTCTTTTCATTAACTTGAACATTTTCTTGTAGTTCATTCTTCACCATGCTTCAGTAAACTAATTTACTTTGACCAAAGAGAAATGTTTTGTTCATTTGGCTCAACACTAATGTTATCAATTAACAGGTATTCTGATTCTATTTTAAGATTGTTCATGAATCGCGTTTCATCAAATAGCAATCAGACGATCTAATGTTTCCACATGTTCTTGTTTTTCATTATTAACATAATAACCAGCATCATCAGGGTGGTTTACATCAGTGGAAGCTATTAAAGCTACGAGTAACAATCATAATTGAAATCTTGTTATTTATTAATCTTATTTTTTGTGGTTCCTTTTGCTGCTTTTCCCAATTAGATTTGCTAATTATCTTTCATCTGATGTTAGATGAGTTTACCTTTCAATATTTGCAACACCTTGAAATGTATTCTATCGAGAGAATTGAGAAAAACATTTTAGTAATTTTCGCCATTCCAAGAGAAATGATAATTTCTCATTTTTACCATTTAATTTTGATTAATTGTATAATAATTTACTTTATTTGTGTTGGTAAATTAAATTAAAGAAGCTCTTCACTTATGCAGTGTTGAGTGTTGAGAGACAAAGAAAGTTATTCTGTTGAACACTTTGATATCATGTAATTGGCAATAACAAACAATGTAATGGTTGAGATAATGATGAGTAAACCCTATAACATGGTAAATATTACTATTGTTATGCCATTTATGAACATTTTTTCCATCAGATAATCATATAAAGCCACTTGACTTTAACCAAGATTTGTGCTTCTCTCAACTGAAAAATGATCAACTGATAAACTGGGAAAAGGATTGCATTATAATTAATACGATTGGTGAATCAGTTGGGAAATTACAATCAATTTTGATTACTGAAAAGTCAATGTGCAACTCGAAGAGTTAATCTTGAACGACTAATCTAATTCACTCTCATGTTTACATTTGTCATTTGAAAGTCATTCACTTGTATTGGGAAACAAATGCATTCAATTTACCAGCAATCTAAATATAGAAAGTAATTGTGACTTGTTCAGGTTCGGACTTGAATGATATTTGGAGGAAAGTTTGCTTGAAAGAAACTATTCAAGATTAATTAACAATTGGGAAACAACGAAATCAATTTTTAGAAATGCATTACTTTCATGATCATGGGGAGAGATGAGAGATTGTGAAAAGATGAAAATGGCCAAAAGTGTATTCCATGGGAAAAGGGAAAATCAATGGTTGATATCAAAAGATGATGATGGTTAAGTGAAAGATGAAAGTGACAACAATTGTCACAAAATTGGCTTTCACAGAGTTATCACATTTTTCTTTGGTAAATTTTGAGGATTGAATTGATTGGAAAGTCGCAGGAGAAAAGAGATAAAAGGATGAACAAAGTAAGAAGGAAATACTCGGAAAATGAGGCAAAAAAAGTAAAGATGACTTAAGGGAATCATCGTAATAAGGATCTTTTCAGTCTTTGTTTTGTCTTCAGCTTTTCTAACCTCATCTAATCTTTTTTATATCTTTTACTTTACAGTGATTCAATGATATTTTTCCTGTAAAATTCAATAATCAACTTGAGTTTAATGGTGATAGCTTTTATTGTTTTTTTCCAACTGGACATCATCATTGAATAAAAGTATATTTAAATTGAAACTTACTCAACAGTAGAAACAGATTAAGAGAAACAAGGTGAATCTAATCTTGAAACTCATGTTGAGCCTTGAAGAAGCTGAAAAAAGCTTCATTTTGTTTACAAGTGTCATGAGCTTATTTATAACATGCATTACACTCTGAATATCTATTCAATTGTAAAACTCCAGAACATGGACAGTTGATGGAAAAGGAAAATACACTGAAAAACTCTATTATCATCATCATAATCACTTTATGAATAGCAATATAAACTGAATTAATTTTCAATTTGATTCACATTGAAACCGTAAACGAAGCTATTTAGGAAATGTTGACTTGAGATAAATTAATTAGATTAAGAGTAGAGATTCATTTACAGATGAAAGACGGAGAATCATGGAACTTCCAAGTAATTTCAAGTGAACCAGCATCAAACATTAAATGTTTATCAAAGTTGAAAAAAAGTTCTTGTTAATCAGTAAAAGAAAATAATAACTCAAAGATTAATCAATGAAAGTAAAATGGAAAAAGGTTAAAGAGGATTTATGAAAGGTTGAATAATGAAGTGAAGTTAAGCTTCATTAGCAAATTAATAACGAAATTATCAAATATTTAAATTATAAATTTATCATGAAATGATGAAAAGTTAGCAATCAATGAACAAGACAAGATGAACTTCAATTTAGGTTTTTTGGTGAATCTTTTTGGACTCAAATGCAAGATGCGGGAATTTTGAAACAGGCAATTGGATGGAAACACAATTATTGTTAATTAATGACTATTGACTCACTTAACACCCAATTTGGTGGCAACTCGCCTCCACTGTGAATAACCACTTGGTGTATAAGATTTGCGATTAATGCTGATTAAGAGAAAAGATTATAACATGAATGGTGATTAGTTTTGTTCAATATTCCAGTTGCCAGCAATGTTTCAATTTACTATTCAGCTAATGATTAACTTTTTTTTTCTCCTTCTTTTCATTTGTTGACATTTCCAATTAATAGTCAAACTGTTTGCTTTTAACAATGTTTTTAGTTGCAACTTTAATTACTCATTTAATCAATTTGTTCTTGCGTCTTAACGTTTCATGTTCCCTTTCATTCAACCTTTTATCTGTTTCTCAGAAAAGGTATTCTTGTGATTCTGCAGAAGGTAACAGTTAATAGAGGAAAGGGTTGAATAAAGGGTTTAAGAAAAGGTAAAATTTTCAATTGAAAAGTCAATTTCGACTATTAACTATCAAGTGAATTGAAGTTGTTCAACTGAACTGTCAGAATGAGTGAAACAAGAAGAGAAAATCACAAGAAAAGGCATTAAAACAGGATATTAATTCTTGTCTAGTTGAGTATGACTTAACCCTTTCCTAGTAAGATAAGTGTTTCATGATCTTCAACAAAAGGCAAGAAATCGTTTAATGAGAACAAGAGCACAATTCAGCGTTTTCATGCTCATCGAGCTTTCAGCGTTTCTCATTGTGCCTGTAAATGTCTTTTCGATCTTTAACTTTCCTTTAATTCAACTCGCCTTTCAACTGAAAATCAAAAAGATTAATTCATTTTGAAAAGCCATTTCAATCAACAAACTCTTAAGATAATCTCATTTTCGGTTCAATTTTGCACTCGATGAGCTTTGGACATTGGATATTTTCAGCTTATCTCGATATCGTTGCACATATGATGAAGCTGCATGTTTAGTTTGAAGATAGTTCTAGGAATGCTCTTAGTTTCTGAGTCTTGTTTTCCACTGAATTAGCTTCAGATAGATCTTGAAGGTTGCAGTAAACATCTGCCTGAAATGAAGGTAGACAAACTCAGACATTCTACCAATAAGTAATTCTGAATTCTGAACTCATCATTTCTTGCTCATTTTCAAATCTTTTGGTTTAATAATAAAAATCGAAATGCGAGTCTGAGATCTACATTTACTGCTCTTTGATAAGTCAAAGATTATTTCAACTAAGAAATTGATGTTTCTTTCAATAAGCGTCAATGGATTCATCAATTGCATGAAGCACTGAACCATGAGTGTCATTTGGTTCATTTGTTACGAATTAAATGTATTATCTTTATTGATTGCTAATTGCATTATGATCCTGAGTCCTAAACTGTTTAAAATGATTTCTAATTCAATGTCGATTTAACTTGAATTTAGTTTAGTTTCAATAAGTTGGTAAATCAAAGTTGATCTCATGTGACACTTACCTTGGTGATGACGAAGATGGAGGTTTACATGTGATTCCTTGTGTGTCAAGGGTTGAAGATGATTGATGATTCTTACTGAAACCAACAAGTTTCTTTTCCTTAACCGATGAAGTCGGTGATGATGATTTAGCATTTGATCCTGAAGAAGAAAACATTTCGATTAAATTCACAATTTGACCAAATAAAGAAAAGGTTAAAACAATGAAACGAAACAAGAAAATTGAAAATGTTTCCAGTTTCATTTCATATTAATACGTTTTAATATTAATATCGATGTTGGAACTTTTCAGAAAATTTTCAATTTTCTTATTCCATTTCCATTGGAAGTTAAAAATTTATTAATTAACAGTTGTAAAATATTGGGTTAGAAAAGGTTTTTCAAATTTATTCAATTTTCTCATGCAATAATTAATTTCTCAGTTTCATCAGAAACATCAATCATTGTGAAGCATGCAAAAGGATAAACAGAAAGGAAGTAAAGTTATCTTTTTATCATGAGAATTGGTTTCATTTGTTTCATGAAATATTCAGTTCAACGGTGATAAGTTGCCATGCAAAGGTAACAAGAAAAGGTTCAAATATTATTCATTGGAATGGACAGACTTTTGGAGAAAACATTTTGTGCAAAGAATTTTTACAATTCTTTTTTTTATAAAAATTTCCAAAGTTATCATGCAGTTATCGTAAAGTTATCATGCTAGACAGGGATTAAAGTGAAAAGCAAAGTTTTCTTCTTGTTTTCCTGTCAAGTCGTTTGATGCTTTTATTTGTTCATTTCAATTGGAAATTGAAACTTTGCTTTTTTCGTTTATTTGTTATCTCCAGTGTTTCAAAGTTATCATGCAAATAAATTGATGAAGCAAGGATACAAACCAATCATAGGAAATTGTTCCATATCAGGGTATTCAAAGAGAGATGGAAAACCTCTTAAGGGGTGATAATGAAGTCGACCTGGCAATGAACATGATGCATTTATTATTGAAGCAAGAAAAAGGAATGTAAAGGAAAGAACAAAAAGTGAAAAGAAACTTTTCTCCTTTTCTCAGCATTCTGTTGGTTAAAGCATTAAGAAACATTGAAAGATGCAATACAAATCAATAAATGCTAGTCAATCTGAATCATGCCTTTTTTCACATTCTTTTTGGCATTCTGTTATTCTCATTATTGCAACATTCAATTTGTATTGATCAAGTGACAATTATGATAAAATGCATGAAAAATATTCTTCAATTGTAAAAATAATGGTTTCCATGAAGAGTCAATCGATTGGAAAAGTAAGGAATGAAGCAAATCAATTGAGCTTACCTGGAGGAACTTGGAGCATCGGTGAAATGGTTCTGTCTTTGGTTGTTAATGCTAAATGACTTGGCTTCTTTGCAAGTCGAAATTTATTACAATCTAATATTTGATCTTTACATGAGCTATCATGAACAGTTACCATACAATCTGAAAGAAGAAAATGAACAAAAATGAATTTTCATGAAACATCGATAATACACAAAATTGAGATTTTACCATGAATGATGCATTGATTGAGGAAGGAAAACACTTGAACTGAAATCTTTTACAACAATAAACATAAAACAATAACAACGCAATTATCTGATATTTACAATGAAAAACTTGGACTTGACGAGTTTATATCACTTGACAAGTGAAAAAAATATTTATTTTTTTTCGAAATGCGATTTTCCACAAAAAAATTTAAAAAATTAAGCCTTGAAAATCTTTAACTTTGAGCACTTAAAATTGATTGATTTTAACGAGATTTTAACATGCAATGGAGCAATTTAACGTGACAATTTATGAAATATTTCATTTCACTGATATCGATTCATTTATGCACTTTTTTCAGGGTAAAACTCAATTTTCAATTTCTTTCCAGTTTACTTACTTTCACATTTAATGGCAGGTTTATTGGCCAATGCTTTTTTACAGACATCACAGAGAGCAGCAATTGAATAACATACGGAAACGAACTGATGAGGTGAAACTTTTTTAACCTCTTTGTCCTTCTGTAATTACAATTAATAAAATCAACAATTAATCAAAACTTTTCGGTGTTGGTCAAGTTGGTGAAAGAAAAAAATGTTTTTCTATTCTGTAAATTCTGTTGTTTCATGATTGACCGGAAGGAAATAAAGTTGGGTAAAAGGGTTGAAAGTGAATAATAATTATGAACAAATTTGTTGATTAATCAAGATTAATAACTAAATACTTACTCGTTTTTTACGGAAAAATAAGCTTCCTCTTTTTTTCCTTTTCGATATTGACTTTTCATCATCACTTTCCTGGTTACTGATGTAGGATAAATTTCTGTGAAAGAAAATGAATCATGAAAATTAATTTACATTCAGAATTGAAATTGTTAGCTTTGGAATGATCACGATTTGGTTCAATTTTTTGATGAGTTGTCACCTTGTGAAGAGTAAATTTGTTAATGATAAAAGCAAAATAAAGGCAACATTAAACATTCGCAATGAAACGAGAAAATCAATATTATTGGATAATGTTAATGTTGTTTTGGCTAGTGTCCAGGGAAAAAAATGTTCAATATTTTGTGATATGAAAAGTGATTGCATGATGAATGATAATTCTTGGAAAAGACTGGAAAGAATTTTAAATGGAAAATTAATTATTCTCTTGCAATCTGTTGATTCAGATTAAGGATTGCAAATGAATGCATCTGCCTTTGCTTCTCCGAAATCATCTGAATAATCTGAACAAAAGAGATGAATTGACGGATTCAATGATGAATAATTCAAGGGTTAAATGTTGCCTTGTTTCGTCTATTTATTTATTGAAATTGATTAGCATTTCTTGCAAAATTGATAGCTTCAGTTAAGCTGCTTTCAAGGGAAAATCACATTCCAAATTCATCTCGAATGACCAATGCTGTAACTGTAACTATTTCATCGTAATCAGTAAATGAAGTTAACTTTGAGTGATTTTGTTGAATCGATCAGAATCGACCTCTTTTGCCTAATCAATTTGGGATAATTAATTAAAAGATTCAAGTTTGTAACGAATAAATGTTTTGAATCTTTGATTCTGGCTTATTTTCATTTTATTGAATGCAAAAAATTGCAAAATTCATCAGTTCCATATGCAACCACCAATGTTGAAATTAGTTGGAAAAGTGAAACTTTCATGTTCCTTTTCAAAAAGAACAAAATTTTGCTTTTTTCTCTTCTCTCAATTCCCTGTAAATTAATTACCTCAGATGAACATTTTAATTGATACAACTGAATAATCTATAAATATAAGTTTTCATCTTATCAACTTATCAGGCTACTATTACAGCACTTATTAATGGTTAATTGCTTGTCAGTTTTCATTTAATTTAATCATTTATCTCAACAATCATGATTAACATGGCCAACAAATCCAGACATTAAACACAATTCGTCCAATGTTCGCATCTAATTATCATTACTACTTGTTATTCATATCGATATTAGTTTTAGTTGTCTAATGATAAACTTAAATTTTTGACTTTTTCAGTCGAAGTTGCATTCGAAAAAAATTCAGATCAATTCATCAGATTCATCCGATAGCTGTACTCTGTGTTCACATCCAAAATTAAGCTCAGTTACGACTCTCAGTTATCTCTTCAAAACTCAGGCAAAAGATGTAAGTAATGATTCGATCGTGATGAACATTTCATTTACCTGAGCATTTATTATAAGTTTGAATATCAAAAGGTTTAGTCAAAGACAAAGATTTTTTAGTCCAATAAACCCAATGTTGCATTGGGTTAATATTTTGCATTAACAATTGCATTTATGGTCAAAAAAATCCAATAATGATAACCTAATCCAATTTTATGCTAATCATGAAGCACCAAGAATTCATAATCCTGAGAAGTCGAAAGAGCCTATCAGGTTCGTGATGCTATTTGTGTTTCAAGTGATATACTTTTTATGGTCCAAGACTAAAAGTAACTTTTATTGTGTCACCTTTAGATTAGCAATAAAACTATTTATCTCGAAGTCGTTTTTAGTTTGAAAAACTTTTAAATTGCTATTATATTAACTGAAGCTGAAAACTGTTGATGGATTTTTTAAACTTGCAAACATTAATAGTTGAAGATAATTTTGTTTTCATACTTTGAATAACCATTTTGATATTCAATGTGACACTTGAAAAGTGAATCTAAACTGCAATTTAATGAAAACAAAATGATTGACAAAATGTTTTCCAAAGTTAATAATGTAAAAATAAAAATTTGTAACATAAAAATATTTCCACCAAATTGAATCGCAAACTGAACACTGAACACATCAAATTGTATATTAAATTAGCAATCACTCAAAGTGTCATTGATTGTAATCGTTGATCATTTTCCCCTGATAATCATTCAGTTTAAACATCAAAATGAATTTCATTGAAGATGCAAATCAAGCGAATAGACAAGTTAAGAGAAGAAAAAATTGTCACAGAATTCGTTGAATTAAAGAAGAGAAGAAAAGTGAATCATTAATAAGCAGATGATGAAGATGAACTTACTTGTCTCGACGTTCATGAGGAGTTGATTGTTCCTCAACAGCTTCTTGAGCAGTCAAAATGGAAGGAGTTGATATTGATTTGTGTAAAGTTGATCGAGGAGGAGTTAAATACTGATGATGATAATAATGAGAAGGTGATATTATTGTTGTTGGCGTTGCTTTTGATGTTGTCACCGTTGATGGTGATGTTACTGGTTCAACCTTCTTCACTGAACTCGATGATTTTGAGCTTGTTAGAGGTGTTGATGGAGTTGCACTTGTGGCCATCAACCGTTTACTTGTGAGGTTACCACTGACTGTTGATGAAGGTGAGATGCTTTCACGTGAAGAAGAGTTGCTTTCACTTTTCATTGAGCTGAAATCATCCAATGAGGGTTTCACATTAATTATATCACTCATACTTCGAGCAGATTGAACCATCGGTGCATTTGCATGATTACATTGACTAGGTGATGATGAACTTTGATGATGGTTTAAGTTGAATATTGCTTCACTTGAACTGGCTGTAAGAAGAAATATTAAGTTAGAAAATTTAAATTTCCAAAAGTTTGTTTTCCCAAAATTATGACAACATTTCAAAATCTTTTTTCGCTTACCTGATAATGACCGGGGTTTATCAAATTGTAAATTAACAGTTGAATTGTTTTGAGATTCTTTGTGGTCACTTGACTCTGAAAGGGTCAAGTCTTCGAAAGAAACTGTTAATCCAGTTGCTTTTAATCGCAATTTATCTTCTCCTTCACTTTGATCATCAATTGAATTAACAATATCATCCAATCTGGAAGCTGAAATCGATGAATATCTTGTTAATGTAAAAATGGTTTTCTTGTGATTACTGTTGGTGTTTGAAGATGGTTGTTCACTTGGTTTGGCCTGAGTCATTTTTCGTTTCGGTGAATCGGATTCTCTCGCATCGTAAAACGTCTCTTCAATATCGGAATCCAAACTGCTCAAGCTGACTCTGTAATATAAAAATTGTTCATCAGAAAGCTATTTATAGATTTGCATGATTGACTGAATGAATTTTTGTCCATTTCAATCTTCGTTCTTGAGCTTCATTCGGTTTAATCAGAAAAAGTTGACAACAGTTTGATCGAAGCAGCTATTTTTTCGAGTTTGATTAACAATCTAATAATTATCCAGATTCATGTTACAATATGAAGATACAATTAATTTGATTAATTTTTCATTTTTTTTTCTTTTCTATTTAATCCAATCTTCTTCTTTACCCTTTCTTGCAATAATTTATATCGTAATTTGATATTGAATGAAATGTTAATAATAGCTGAAGAAAAGACAAACGAGAGATAAAAATGGAAACAAATGAATGCTAAATAATAATGGAATCAATTTCAAGTGAATTATCATTGTAAATGATTATCATCATTAAAAAGGAAGGAAGGAAAAATGGAAAGAAGAGAGAAAAAGGAATTTTTTTCAACTTTTTTTCCCTTTTTTTCATTGCCTGTTAAAACTAAACCAACTCGTGAATAACATGAATAATTGAATAGTAAAATGATAGAGATTAAATTGAATGGTGATGAAAAGAAGATGAAATTAAAGTGAAAGTTCATGTTTGATGAGTAAAGAGTAATATCAACGTACACTCGATGAGGTGCATCTCCAATGAAATGGTCAAGTTCATTTTGACCCAGTCCGGCTTGATCAATGGATGAAGACCAACTTTTACGTCTAATGATTGGATCTGAACCCATTTCTCGACTTTCCTTGCTGTAATTCAACGAGTTATTATTGACAGTGTAGTTGCTCTGCTTCAGATTGTTGGTACTTCCAGGTAAACCCGAGTTACTGTTACGCTTGGCACATCGTTTAGCCGTTGTACCACCAATGGTCGTTGAACCGGCAGTTGTGGTGGTTGAGGTTGAAGTGGAGTGACTGGAGACTGAAGGATCGACTGGTGTAGGTGACTTGCTTGGTGTACTCACGGGTGAAGCTTGAGGTGAACTACAAGTTGAACTGGCAAGACTCGATGGTGTCCCTGGTGATCGACGACCTCCAACTGCAGGACCAAGAAACTCTTGACTACTCGATGGAGTCAAATCGTTTACTTTAATCTTTACCGATCTTTGATCATTTATGCAACCAATTTTGACCATTTCACTTTGTACAGGCTCTTGATTGCACTCAATCTCAACACTCGACTCTACCTGTTCATCCTCTGTCTTTATCGTAATCAGTTGTTGACCTTGATTATCCTTGATGACCTCACTTAGTTCAACCTCTGAGTCTTTTTCATTCGTTTCCATTTTACATTCAGATCGAGTTTCAGAGTCTCTTGAATCATCGTGTTTCATCATTTCCATACTTTCATAAGCACCAAATGTTAGTGTATGCGGACGAGGTGGAATCGATCGAAGAAAATCATTGGAATAACGACGAAGTCTTACCAACTCAGAATCATCATGATGATAACATGTTTCAATTGAAAGTGATGAAGATGAAGATGAGGTTGACGATGAAGATGAAGACAACAATGTAATCTCTTCTTCCATTCAACATGAATCCAATTCTCGGTGAAAATGGTTCATTTTAATTTTCATAAACACCAAATTGGTGACAAATTTCCAAATGAATCTAACTGATCAAACGAAAAGAACAATTAATAAATTGAAAATGAAAAGTCAACAATTGTTCAAACAATTTACAATGGAAAACAAATCAACCCGAAAATGCAGATCAATGCAAAGTAAAATGATTAATCAAATTGAAATAGGAAAAGGAAAACATTAATTACAAAAAGTGAAGCCAATAATTCATCAATTATCATTGTTAAGAGTTTCAACGAAAAAACAAAAAGCACTGAAAATGCATTACAAGGACATGATCAAGATTCAATTTTACTGTTGGTTCAGTAGAAGTCAATGAATATTATCATTTCTCCTCCCTGTCAATGTTATTGATAGGGTTAATTTTATTTACTCAAAATGCATAAACTCTCTAATGGTTAAGGTTAACATCATAATAATACTTTTCATTTCAATTGCTAACATGATTATCTGATTGATTTCATTTCTTCTGCTTACTTTCATCTTCATCTTTTTTCTCATTTCTTTTTGTCTTCCTTTTCTTTTTCTTTTCCTTAAGTTTGTTGCAACTTGACTCACAGTAAAACCATGTTACATGATGAACTGAAAGGAAACCTAAACATGAAACTACTTGAAATTTGAATCAATCTGATTGTCTTGAAATTAACTTTGCCTTTAGGAGAAACGAGGAGAAACACTGAACATTTCAAAGTTAATTGGATCATGTTGGATAACGTTATTTAGATGATGAAGAATGGAAAGAAACTCAAGTTTACCTGAACAAGAAAATATTGTTTTTCAAGATTAAATAAGAGTTTAACATTTTCTTCATTTGATAATTAAATGGTTTCAAGTGTAGAGATTCAGAGTTTTTGTTTTTTGCTGAATCCAAGTTTCAACCATTTCTCAGTTCATCATTGAACTTTATTTGCTGTTTAAATACAAAAAGTTAAATGTGAATTTACGATTAACTTTCATTGACTGTTAATGTTTATCCAGAAAAGAAGAATAAAGTTGAATAGAAAATCAAATTTTACCAGATTTTTGTTCATGATATTAACCTAATTTTATCCCTTTTTGCACTTCTAATGACAATTTACAATGAAAATGAGTTTAAAGGTTAAACTCAATTGAAGATTCAATTGATTTCGTTTTTTGCTTTTCTATTCTTGACGCACATCTACATGTTTATCATGATTAAAGGATAAAATTTCAGATTGAATTATGGATGAATAGTGAAAGCTGAACAAAAGTGAGAAGAAGAAGATGAAAACAAATGAAGATAAGCTGATGAAAGGAAAAGTTGAACTTCGAGTGACTGTTAAATATAGTTTGGTGTGAGGTTCAACTTAAGAGCATTTCAAGACTTACCTTTACCAGGTGACGAGGAAAGTAAAGAAGCTCATTCTCTTTAGGTTAAGCAAGATGAGTAAATAATATTCAAATAGTTATGCGAATATCAAGTCTTGAACTGGGAGTTTCTCGGTGGGAGGTTAAGATGAGAAGGAATAAGTTATTCACAGAAAAACTGTTACGTTTACTCAGCAAGAACTTTTCTTCTTCTTGAAGCTTATTTTACGACTTTTACCTTTTAACTCATCATGTTAACATCATGTTTTCAATTGTCATTTTTAGCTGTGCAAATAAAAAGATATGAGAAATTGTTTACCATCAATTAAATTATTTCATCATTTTCACCCAAAATCATGCAATCTTGATAACAACCAATATCGACTCAAAGTCATTTCTGTCTTTTTGCTGAATTCAAGAAAATCGATTAAAAAATATTTTTAAAAATTCTTATCCAAAGTTTTGAGTCGATCGAGGTTACCAAGAAAAATCAATCTAAAAATTGATTTCTAATAAAAATCTCAAGTTCAAAGTTATAACTAAAACTAAGTTGGACTCAACTATGCATTGGAAAGATTCTGATGAATATTATGAGAAAAAGTTTATTGCAAAATCAAATGCAAAAATTGAATTCTTTTTGCTTTTTGTTCGAAAATATTGATCATGATTATGTTTGAAGAGAAAGTAGTGAAATTAATTCCATAAGTTGTAATCGTGATCATCATGATATCATGAATTTTGTAATGCATTCAGGTTTAACTCAAAAATAACAAAAGTCAAGCAAGGATAAAAATAAAATTTCAATGAATTCGATTCAGGTAAAAAGGTCATTTTTAAAGTATTTTTCCTGACTCTTTTGTACTCTTCAGGATGAAAGATTCATCGAGCTGATGAATTCTTTATCAACAAAAGCATCATGATGATACAAATGATGATAGGAAAGGGTAAAGAATAAACTGCAATGACAATGATGGAAACAAGAGTTTCCAATGGATAACGAGAAAATTTTGGATAATACTTTGTTTCCAAGAGAAAAGAACTTCTTAATCAATGTTTCATGAACATTTTTATTCCCGATTTTTTCTCCTCATCACATAAAACACACAGAATTGAAAAGAGTTTACCAATCATCATTTTCATCATTGAATCGATACTCGATACATTAATCTTGATATTCAATGGCGAACTCTTTTTCCCTAAAAATTGCCGTTTTCTGAGTTCATGCATTTGACAAGTTGAAAGCAAACTCTCGAGTTGAGTAAATTCGTCAACAAACAAGTCAATCAGATGAGACACTATTCAAAGTGAAGTGTTGAACAATTGAACAATTTGACAGAATCAAAATGAATATAAATATCGACCTAAACAGAATCAAAGTCGACTTTACTCTTGATTGATTAGGAATAACAGTTTTGATAACTTCAGACTTGGAGTAAATTTATGGTCAAACATTTCACACTTTTTTGTTAAACTGGGAAAATGATAAATTTGAGTTTAAACAATGAAACATTTAATGTCATATTTTGTCTACTTTTTGCATTAAACTGGAAAATCGTAATTCAAGTTAATCTAGGAAAAATTATGGTTACCATGAAAAAGAGAATGAAATTCGTAATTCTTTATTCAATTGTTGCCATTATCATTATTATCTGGTAAAACTTTTATCACAAATATCATTAACGCTGAATCAGTAATAACATTACAGTAAAAGTGGTGAACCTTTGATAACAATTTGTTTTCATGTTTCATTTAATAATATCATAATCTTTTTCATTTGAAACATTTATTAAAAGTTGCAACAAAATTCAGTTTTTTTGCCATCCAAAGTTGATTCAGATTTACTCATTTAATGGGCGAATTAATGGCGATATTTTTTATCATTAAATGATGAAAAATATTGAGTTAGCGTTTAATGAGAAATTGATTGATGAACTTCAAGTTATTTGTTATTAATATATTTACGAAAATGTTGAGATTGAATTAAAGTTTCAAGATTGTTCAATCCCAGGTAATGGTTAAATAATAAGCATTTGTTGTGCCTGGAAATGACAAAAGTTCAACTGATAATCATCTTTTTCTTTATTCGTTGATATAATAGTTTGTTGAGGAAAATGTGAAATGGTAACAAATAATCCTGGGAATAACAAGTCAAGGTTAATGGAAGCAAACAAACAAATAATTGATAAGTTTGATTGAATAAGAATATCATAATCATCATGATAATTCATGTAATTTATTGATTCAAATGCATATTCAATACAATTATCAACAATTGGTCACGTCAACAGTTATGTTTAGTTTTGCCTTTTCCTTACCATTTTGATTGGGATTACAATGAGATCGACGAGATCATTTGGAATGCCAAGTTTCCAGAACATTGACTGAAGTATAAAAATTAAAACTCAATTTTCTTGAAACTTACTTATGATAAGTTAAAGATACTTTAGACTAACAGAAATGAAACTGTTTTCGATTATCCAATTTCATGAAAATGTTGATTAAATTTGAGGTTAAATTGAGGCCAGTGTTATCAAAACCATAAAGGTCAAAAGGTTTATGGAGAAAAATGGAAAAATTAAGTTATTTTCATCGCACTAGCAAGGTGTTCATTAATGCAAACTCGAGTAAATGCTGATGTTGCTTCAAACGATTTGACTCCAAATACTTAAGCAAAATTTAAGCGAAAGTTGATTTAATCGAATAGATTTATCATAAGAAACCAACGTTTAGCTACAATTGTGAATCAGACTGAAATTTTGAAATGGATTTTGAAATGTTCATGGAAAATTCGAAAAATAAAATTGAAATTATTTGCAGAAAAGATTATATTTTATCTGAAAACTTCTAGTATTAACAAAGCATTTCTCGAAGAAAAATGGTCAAGATTACTCAATTACGATGAATGGACAGCTTAAGAATTTGAAGCTATTTAAATAGCAAAACTTTCTCTAAAACTCATTTTCCATGCAAGAGTTTTCGAGAAATTTGTTTCCATTCCTGGCAATGAAAAAGCAATTGAAGTTGGCTCAAGATTGGACATTTTATTTGCTAAATATTTGAATGACTTTTGCAATTCACTGTGAATTGCAATCTGAAAAAGCATTCAAATGTTGAGTCAAAAGTTATTCATTAAAATTTCGAGATAACATGACAAACTAACATGTCCATTCTTAACCATGAATAAGGTTACAATTTTTCTGCTTTGATTCTACTCAAAATTCTGTACCAACAATCATGTGAATGTCACATTTTTTACTCATTCTTTCTCATCTCGATTCTTATCCTTGATTATCATCTTTATTGTTGTGACTTCTTTTAAACCTGAAAACGTTACCAAAGTCATTTGTCATGAAAACTGTAAAAGACGAGCATTTCTTTCGCCAAGTTTGAGGGAAAACTTTTCAAGAAATGAATTTAATGTTACCAGACTACAAATGATAAAGTGATGCCTTTACAAATGACGATAAAAATATTAAAAGGTTGCAATGAAAAGTCGATTATTAAAAAATTTACTTTTGTCGGAAACAAAAACTTTTCTCATGATAAATGAACTGTTTTTTCTGGCTACAGAATATTCATTCATCCTGATGTTTCTTTTCACGCTTTACTTTTCCATTTTCATGCATTTGCTGATTTTACATGATTAATTTGTTTCCTGTCAATAAATAATCAGCAATCAACAATTTTGCACACTTGAAGGAAA